ACAATTTACTGTGTTTAGAACAATACTAAGTAAAAAGACGTTATCTTTTAAAATGATTAGAAATATGATATTAGCAACTGATGAAATATATATAAGTAAGGGGAAGGGGGTGAAAGCATTGCGGGAAGCCACAGGAGGGGGGAAGGTGTATGGATTGTAGGGTAAGTAATCGTTTATGTACTTCTTTTTTTTTTAAGTTTTAATGGATAAATGTTGAATACCTACGATTGGAAAATAATAAAACTTTGTTTACCAAAAAAAAAGAAAGAAATCGCATAATACCAGGAAGAGTCACATAGAAGACAAAAGTTTTAAATTCCTTCAAACCACACCTTGCATTCATATAATTCAAACTATTTGTGGTATTACATGCAGTGATTAACCTATAATTTAATTGTTAGATAAGGGGAATGCTGCAGACAGTTTATCTTGATTTCAGTAAGGCTTCTAATAAGGTTCCACAGGATATTCTTGCTGACAAGTTGATATAATGTGGCTTGGATCCTACTACTATTAGATGGATTTATTTATTTTTATTTATTTATTTGATTTATAGCCCGCCCTCCCCGCAAGCAGACTCAGGACGGTTCACAGACTGGGCATGTATGCCAATAATTAAAGCAGTTAAAAACAAGATAAAGCAATCATTTATAATCATTTATCGCAATACAAGGTGCTCTTGGTGTCTCAAAAAGGTCTTCAGTCACAGGATGGCATCCTGGTGGTGAAGGTCCCAGATCGATGATATCAGTTCCAGGCAGCACTATCGTTCATTTGTCACAGGGCAAATGACAAATCACACCCCAAAAGTACTTGTAAATGGTTCCTCATCCTCTTGGAGAGCAATGAAAATTTGAGTGCCTCAGATCTGTCCTGGGCCCTGTGTTGTTCAATGTCTTTATAAATGACTTGGATGAAGGAATAGAGAGGATGCTCATTAAATCTATAGATGATGCTAAATTGGGAGAGGTAGCAAATACAGTAGAAGACAGAATCAATATTCAGGACAATCTTGACAGACTAGGAAACTGGGTTAAAATTAACAATACGAATTTCAACAGGAATAAATGTAAAGTTCTGAATTTAGTTAGGAAAAATCAAATGTATGATTATAGGATGGGGAGACTTGTATTGGTAGCAGCAGATGCAAAAAAATCTACGGGATTTAGCAGAACATACTGAACATGTGTGTGATACAACAGTTACGAAGGCAAAGGCAATTTTGGGATGCATCAACAGAAGTATCATGAACTGATAGTATCACTTGACTCTGCTCTAGTTAGACTCCACTTGGAGTACTGTGTTCAGTTTCAGACACCACAGTTTAAGAAGGATCCTGTCAAGCCAAACCATGTCCACAGGAGGGTGACAAAGATGGTTAACGGTCTGGAGACCAAGTCCTATGAGAAAAGGTTGAAGGAGCTGGGTATGTTTAGCCTGGAGAGGAGACAATTGAGAGGTGATACAATAGCCATCTTCAAGTATTTGAAAGGCTGTCATAAAGAGGATGGAGCAAAGTTGTTTTCTGTTGCCCCACAAGGTTGGATCAGAACCAATGGGTTGAAATTAAATCAAGAGTTGTTGGCCAAATATTACAAAGATCTGCCTGACAGAATGGTTCCTTAGTGGAACAGGTTTCCTCAGGAGATGGTTAGCTCTCCTTTAAAGGTTTTTAAGCAGTGGCTAGATGGCCATCTAACAGCAATGCTGTTTCTATGACTCACTGTGAAGTTGGGCATCATAAGAGGGAGGGCAAGAAGGTATGAGCCAGTGGTCAGATCTTAAGCTGATCACCACTTTGGGCTCAAGAAAGGATTTTCCTGCAGGCCAGATTGGCCCAGGGATACCAGAGGTTTTTTGACTTCCTCTAGGCATTGAGCAGCGGACACTGGGGGAACAGGGCAGGTAGCTGTGTATTTCCTGCACTGTGCAGGGGGTTGGACTAGATGACCTTGGGGACCCTTCCAGCTCTATGTTAATTGCATATTTGAAGCAGCACTCTTCAGGATTATCGTAAAAAGAACATTGTAATGATTCCATGTTTTGGTGTGTGTGTGTGTGTGTCTTTAAATGTTGAGTTTGACTGCAGTACTGTAAGAAGAGTGATAGGGGGAGATGGGTGTGCTGTGATTGGCTGATGACTTTTTCCATTTTTGCGGATGGTCGCTTTATCACTCGGTGACGTCTGGTGGCTCCGCTAAACCCCGTTCGGGGTCGCTCACGCAGCAAGGTCCATTGGGGCAGGGCATGGCGGGAGCCTCGCTCTCCGACCTCTCGGCCGAAAGAGCGACTCCCCCCTAGTGCGCCCTAAAGCGCCCCGGATCCGAGCTCCTCTCTTCTGAGGGGCTCGTTCGGGTCTCCGCTCGCGCGGATTCCCTCCTCCACCGCGGGCGGGCGAGGCGCCCTCGGGAGCGACCTGAGGAAGCGTCCGCCATGCGCGGGAGCCAGACCGGAAGCCCCAAACTTAGGGCACTTTTTAGGTTCACAGAAAGACCTGTCTTGCCCGTAAACAGTTCCAGTCACCGGATTTAAGTATCCAAAGATAATCTGACTTCGCTATTAGAATATAAGACGGAGCACCCTGGCTGCATAAGTAAGAGTTTTAGGGCATGTACAAGCTGGAACATAAGCCCTAAAATCCCTTGCAACTCTCAGACTACACGCAACCACTAGCAAATGCAGTGTCTCTTTGACTGGGCAGCCATATAGCTTATTATAGCAAGTAATGTCAGTGACACATCCTTAGAATGTTAGAGGCAAAAGCCAATCAAGTCGCATATGCAAACAACCTCTGTGTTCTGAGGCAAAGGCCAATGAGGCTGCATATGCAAATAACCACTGTGTTCTGACTGGCTATGGGGTGGAGAAGAACAGCAAAATGTTTAGAATGTTGGAGGCAGGACTCAGGCAAAGCAGCCAGTGGATAGGGAGACCCTCTGAATGACAGATCAGAGAGCGAACTGATTTTGGAGCGTGTGGAATGTTCTAGAGAAGTGCCACCACCATTTGGCTTTTATTTATAAGGAAGATTCTGTGTATGGGTCTTTGGAAAGTGAAGTGTGGCAGAGCTATGAAGAGGGCCTGTGTGACTCTAAAAGTTTTGTGAGAGAGTCTATATGGCAAAGAAACAAGCAGTGTCTAAACTGTGTGGTTAGACAAATGTTTTATCTTGTGTGCCTAAGACAAAGAGCTTAGCCAGTGTGGCTACATATATGAGAGAAAGAAGCCTGTCAGCATGGGATTTTGGTGTCTGAGAGACTGTATGCGACACCTTGCCAGTTATATTTACAAGTTCCTTTCCCCCGAAACAGTCAAAGATAACCAGAAACCCACTTTGTTCTTCATTCAATAAATCAATTTTTGTTTAAACATATTCCAGAAATCAGTACAGTCCTTCCTCAGGGCCACATAGTCCTCTGAAATGCCCAGACCCTGGGTCATACTACCAAAAGAGAGAGAACTGGAATTTTTAATTTCTGGTGGCAGCAGAAAACTACCAAGTTTATATACGCAGAGGGTGGGTTAAAGGAAAAACAGACTCCCTTAAATAGCAAGCGTGCCACAAACATAAACAATGGAACTGTCTCAAGTGTTATCTGAGGTTTTACAATGTTAATTTCACATCTAAAAATGGGCACTAGATCACAAAAGGAATAAAATGCTGAAATAAAATTTTGATAGTCTTTCAGGAGTCATAAACCTAAGCATTTGTGGTCTAGGGCCTGCTTCACAGATTATGGGGATAAATGAGTGTTTAAATAAGTATTGTTTTCTAGTCAGCACTTCTGCAATCTTTAGCAAGGAAAGTTTTGACTAAAGAATGATGCACAAGCTATATAAGTACAATTGCAATTTGTTCACTCATCTAGGAAGGCCTCTGAAAGCCAATGTTATATAAAATACCTGAAACAGACAATTGGTTCAACATCCCGATCTTATGCATATTTACTTGGAAGTAAGTCTAACTGATTTCATCTCAATTAAGTGTGCACTGGAGAACACTTCTTTCATTTCAGATTCTATGCTGAGCCTAAATTCTACAACAGTAAACTTTACCAAGCTGTGTACTAAAAATCAGCACAGCCAACTTTTAAGAAAGAAATGTAACACTTCAGTATGTTATATGAACATGGCCAACCCTGCATTTAGTTCTTTAGGAGACAAATTCTGGAAGAACAGGCAGTCTACTAAATCAAACTAGCATCAAATGTACATAAACTGTCTGGTTTGTATTTAGCGCAATGCACCCATACAAGCATTACACTTGATTTTGTTTCTCCAGTTCTCATTTGATAAAGGGAAAATAGCATTAGTTGTAAGGAATGCAATGTAAAAATGTAAGTGTTCTTTCTCCACTGACATGCATCATGGATATGGGATTTTATACACGATGAACACAAATGTTTATGTTAATGATACACTGAATCATGTAGGTTGGCTAAAGATGGTGGATGAAAGAATGGAAGAAACAAAACATCTTGAGGCACAGGCCAGACAATATGGACCTGATCCTTTCCAGACTTGAGTTTATAGAGCAACCAGCCATGATTATTTGTAACTGGCCAACAGCCAATACAGCACAGAGAAAACAGTATTTCCTTCAGAAATGAAGTTGATATGTACGCCCCTGGATCAGTAACCCTACAAAACTGTTCTGAGCTCCTAGCAGAGAGGCAAGGAGTCAACAAATTAATGAACAAAGTTTGAGTCCATTGGCATCTTTAAGACCAACAATTTTATTCATGGTATAAGCTTTTGTTTGCAAGTACACTTCTTTAGATAAAGTGAAACCATTCATTGTATCTGAAGGCGTGTGCTTGCACACGAAAGCTTATACCTTGAATAAAATTTTGTTGTTCTTAAAAGTGCCACTGGACTCAAACTTTGTTCTGCAGGTTCAGACCAACAGGGATACCCACCTGAATTGAGCGACAAATTAATGATACACTCAACATGAATATGTATGCATTTTTAATGAAATATTATATATAAATACCCACCGAAGACAGGGACTGGGAGCAGTATACTGTGTATTCATCAGACGTGCTTTAAAAAAACAATTTATTATTGTCTTCTCTCAGACATATTACAAATCTATTTTATATATTCAAAAAAGGGGTGGGTTGCTTTAATGCAACTGTCACAGGCCAAAGCTCTTCCAAACCTGTCAATGGGTGACAAATAAACCTTCCCACACCATTCTCACTTGTCCTTCCACATCCTCCACACATAGAGCCTGCATCAACTGGAATCTCACGAGAACAAGCATGCCCACTTCCCTCTCGGTGTTCACGACTCGTTTACGCCCCCCTTCCGTAGACAGCCCTCCCCTTAAGTCCCACCAACCCCTCCCCCTTTCCATCCACCCTCCTCCCCTTCCCTGCAGGAAAGAGGCATCACCTTAGAAGTCGCATCACTGCACTTCCCTCACAACCTTGCCCTGCAAGCCTGGCGAGGCAGCTGTGGACCCCCAGCAAAGCCCCCACCTCTCAGCTGGGCAACAGGAATCGACCCCCACCCCGGGGCAGGAAGGGAAGGGAGAGATGCTGCTTGGCGCGGCCTGCTTCCCCGCCCCCACCACCATAGGCCTCGGCACAGAGACGGAGGGAGGCGACTGCCAGACGGAGCTCACGGAGCTCCAGCCGCACTCGGCGCTCTCCCGGGGCTACCGGCCTGACAGAGTCTTCTCCAAGCCCACCCCGCACTCAGCTTTCCGCCACCCCAGCGTCCGGACGCGGCACTCACCCACCTCCCCTAAGCCCAGAGGCCGACAGGACAGCAGCACCAGAAGCAGCCGCGACACACAGTCTCGGAACGGAAAGCTAGCCCAGCCAATCCCATCCTGCAGCCGGGAACAGCGCTAACCAATCCTGCCCCGCACCTATGAAACAGAAACCAATCACTGGGAGAAGAAGGCGGAGATCGGATGCTCACGGGCTGGCCCTCTGAAGGAAGGCGGGAGGATTGCGGACGTCTGTCAGCAGCGCCCACACTTTGCCTTCCATTTTCCGCCAGAGTGTCCCTCCCCGGCTCCCCGGGCCGTAGCTGGCAGCTCCACCCCCTCGGGGCTGTGCGGAGCCGCAGTCCGCCCTCTTCGTCGCAGAGCTAGGACAGCCCCGCGCCAGAAGCAGCATGACCTAATCGCTTCCTTCGAAAAACAAAAGCCACGGCAGTACCATCCAAAACGACCCAAGTGTCAAGGGTTCAGATACCCAATTCAGCTGAGCTTGCCCGTCAGAAAAAGAGTAGCGTCTGGTAATTAACAGTGCCAAGAGAACGACACAAAGTGCTGCAAACTGTAGAAGCTCATACGTTGTAAAATGCAGGAGAGTTGAAATGTCGCATGCGCAATCTAGTCTGTAACCTGGCACGGTGCACTTAAAACTGCTTTACTGTTTTTCATACCTGCATTTGAAACTGCCTTCTGTTTTACAGGCATTACATTAATACTGGGCAGGCCTCGGTTCCTGCCAGAGTGCGCCAAGCACAGTTCTGCCAGTCAGGAGCCCAGGGGAAGGGCACATAAGCCCTGCCCCCTGCTCCTACCACCCATCAGTTGAGACGCGGTGGGGGGGGGGTAATATTCCCTGCCTCCCTGAGCGTGGTGGACTTGGACTCGTAGGGGCAAATTCCATCTCTCCAGCGAGAGGTCATTCTGGCTCCCCCAGCTCTCCTTCGGGGCTCCTTAAAAAGTTATGGCCTGGTGGCAGCTGCCATGTGGGGGGCGGGCGAAACATTCTCCTGCCTCCCTGAGCCCCGGGGTGGTGGCTTTGAACTCGTAGGGGCAAATTCCACCTCTCGCAGGAGAGGTCATTCTGGCTCTCCCAGCTATCCCTAGGAGCTCTTTAAAAAGTTATCGCAGCTGCTGCTGTTCTCAGCGACAGCTGCGACGCCAGGGGGGCGAAATGTTCTCCTGCCTCCCTGAGCCCCGGGGTGGTGGCCTTGCACTTGTAGGGGCAAATTCCACCTCTCGCGCGAGAGGTCATTCTGGCTCCCCTGGCTC